CGCGGGTCACCCGGTCGTCGTCCCGTACAAATGCACACGGTGCGGAGGCAGCTGTCTCTACGTGGGCACGATCGTCAGCACGGTCGTCAGTCAGGTCTGTGCCAGGGCGGGCGACTGCCCGTTCTGGCCCTCGCGCGGACCACCGGGGGACCGTGACGCGGTCTGAGGGGCCGTTACCCATGGGTGCCGCTCTACAGCAGCAGCTGCAAATTCTCACCGAGAAGTTTGCACAGAAGGAGGAGGAGCACCGGGGGGTGGTCGATCGGATGCAAGCGCCGATCGACGACCTATCCGTCAGCAACCTTGGTAGCGCTGCCGGGGGGTCTGCGGGGGAGGTCGAGCTGCTCGGGACGCAGGGGCCACCACCAGCAGCGGCTCTACCGGCGACACCGCCTGCGGCCGTCCAGCAGATGGCCAGAAAGGAAGCTATGACCGAGTTGAAGAACCTCCACACACGCATGGCCTGGCTGGTTCTTGCTCAGCGGCCCGCAATCGGCATTCGGACAGCCTCCCAGTGGCAAGCATCCTACCCAGACGTCCACATCAGCCCGCAGATTGCGTCGACGATAAACACCGTCACAAGATTCTGCGTCTCGGACTTGCGTATGGCGTCCGGCAGCGCATCGGCAACGGCAAACATCGACGAGTCGTTCGAGATCATGATCGAGGTAGTCTGCAACGCCTTGGGTTGAGGCATCAACGACAGCGAGAGTCTCGCGCTACTGCGTCTTCTCGAAGACGCCTTCCGGCAGAGGCTCCGCGACGTACGTGATCACCTTCGCAAGCACCGCGGCGAAGCACGGATTGACGCCAGCCAGCGCCGTCTCCTGTCCTCCCTCGAAGATTTCAAAACGTTCGCTTACGACTAGTTCTCTGCCGCGATCGTTATCAGAAGAAGAACCGGCGCCCAACGAGAGGGCATCCTGGACGAACCCGGGGTACCACCTCCGCGTGACGCGCATCTGTTTCGCGCACGTCAAGGGAGGCTGCGAGAACCCCAACTGCCGATTCCTGCACACGAAGGACTCCGCTTCGGGCGGCGGATCATCGGGCGCTCGCGGGGGCTCCACGGGGGGCGCCCGAGGCAATCAGAGACTGGCTAGCGGCGAAACTAGCGGCGGGGGCGGAAGTGGGGCAGGTGCTGCTGTCGGGGGGGTGGGCGGCGACAGGCCTAAAGCATGTTCCTTTTTCTGAACCGGAAAAAGCGGGAAAAGAAAAAAGGGGCTCGGGCTTTCCCGGGCAGCGGGGGAGGCTACCTCAGGTTTGGATGCGGTTGTGCGTGATTTCAGCGACGAAATTCGTGTTTTCGTACCGGTCAGAGAGCCGGTGTCAGTACGGGAATATTTGTTTTGGGGTGGCTGGGGGGGTACCTGACTTTCCTTGACAGGCACGACGGAAACGTTGAATCCATGCGCAGGCTAGGAGACGTTCTGCCGATACCCCGGGTGGACCCTACGCGGGCAAGACAATGGTTCGGCGGGGCAAAAAAAATCCCCTTGATTGACTTACTCGTTCACATCGTTTCAATCAGAGTTCAGGTACGGGAAACAGCACGGGGTGACAAAGTTGCGGCCTTGCAGTTCGGCAATCATAAGTCCGCACTATCGCACCGCGCACAGATCCTCGAAAAGGTTAGAGATGATGTTTACGACAGAGCATTCGTTTTTCCAAAAACCGCGGCGTCTTAGTTTGCAGGTTTGCGCGTCTCACCGCTTGGAGTGGTCGTCAACTCGGAGAAAGCGCGGGACATCAATGATTTGCGGTTTTCGGGTGTTACCCAGAACACGGATACCTCTAGCGCACCCCAATGCAAGTTCGGGTACGTGTTGCGCGAAGTTGTCTGGCGTGTGCTGTACCTGTACAATCGGTTCGTTCGCCACTCGTCCGAGCTCACTTCCCGCGATTTTGATATTCAAAATGGATTCAAAGGACCCCTTCCGGCAAGTACCAGTGGAAAGGGCGCGTTCCCCGACGTTCGGCTACGGCTTTGGCGAGGCCATCGTAGTGGATCTTGCAATCCGGATGGATCCGTAGCCCCCCAGCATTTCTGCTTGTACATGGCCGCTATCGAACACTCCCACAATCACAACACTATCGATACGGCCGTCGTAACATCTCATGGTCGAGCGGCCACGGAGCACATTCGCAATGTTGCCCGCCGCAGGGGTAGCACAGACCCATCTCCCAGTGCCATGCTCGCTTCCCCCCGGGGTCAGGCGGGGGAGCGGACGATCGTTTTGTCGCTAGAGCATATGTTGACGACGTTATCGGCGTCGAGGTGCATGTCGAGCAACCAGGCAACGACCGGTGCCTGCAACGTCAGCGTCTTTAGAGTCAGACCACTTCAGGTTTTTCGGCGACAGGCCGCGTGGTTTCCTCCCCGTCCTTTCGTCGAGCAAGCTAGCGTCGTGGTAGTCGCGTATGGACGTTCGTGGTTGGGATTTTGATACCAAGTGCTGTCGGTCTCTGTGGCCAAACGAAACTCATCCGGGTTCACGCCATGTTGGCCGACTGGATGGCCCGTAGCACCGCCTTAGAAAACGAAGTGCGGTCACTCATGGGCAAGCTCCTCCTTAATTGCGAGGTAGTCCGTCCCGGAAAACTCTTTGTTAGTCGGATGCTCAATCAGCACGGGCTGCCGCTAGGTCGGCCGTAGGACGAGAAACTGTATCGCTTAAGGGGCGGTCCGCATAGCTCAAATCGGATCGTTACGCTGGGCTCCGAGTTCCGTTCGGACGTGTCGTTCTGGCATATGACGGTAGGAGGGGGGCTGGGCGCAGACAAGCATGGGAGGCTCACCATACCGTTGAACAACTTTTACATGCAACCACATGTCCGTTCGTTGTGGAGCGACGCTAGCGGGGACGCGATCGGCGGCTATTGTTTAGAGACAGGGAAGTACTGGCGGACGGGCTTTCCCGGCGACGTCGGACAACGCTTGCGCAACCGTGTTTTGGCTAGCCACGATCTCAGCATCAACGTTTTGGAACTGCTCGGCATTCACGGTAGATGCAGGAATCATGACCTAGTACCAGGGACAGAGCGTTCTCCTGAGAGATGATAATGTAAGCGCTCTGCACTGGTGCAATCAACGCGGAGAGCCCAAAGAGCCAAGGTCAGGAGCACTGATGCGAGTGCTGGGGTGCTTAGGGATGCGGAGTGGTCGGTCCTTTAGGGCGCGGCACGTGAAAGACGTTCTCAACACCCTAGCCGATGGTATCTCGAGGTGGGATTATGACAGTATCGCCCCCAACTCCGCGCTTTCCGACCGGATGTTGAGTGGCAGGCGCAAGATCTAGGGCAGGCAAGACGGGACCTAGTCTCCGACAGCTTGGCGTGCAGCTCGTCGGCCAATCAATTGCGCCTTCGTGTAGACGATGTTACGCGTCGGGTTCCAAATCTTGACGCTCGTTTCGAAAGATGATAGGCAAGTCGCGTTTTTCCCACGCTGGCATCTCCAGCAACCTCAGGGTATGGGAGCTGTTTGATTTTTCTGCATCGTGCTTTGAGGTAGAGGGCAACTGCGCTAGTACGATTTCAGGGAAACTCGCAGCGTTGCAGTTCCATCACAGGGTGGACGCGTCTGTTGAGTTGGACATCTCGTCGCCGTTGCTAAAATGAGTACTGCGGGGGATCGCAAGGGATCACGTAGCACTAGGCACCCCACGTCGCGTGCGCCTACACGGCAGTATCCTCCGGTGGATGATGCGTGTTTGGGGTGCTCGGCTGCGTATACTGTCTACGGGGCCTCCGGGGGATACGCGGATGGTGTGTATTGATGGACATGCTCCATGGCGATGGTGTTGCCTGCCGCATGTCTCTCACTTTCGAAGCAACAAGGTCTTGAGTCAACCTTCTTTCTCTTTCGGACTCTGCACCCAAACACAATATATTGCGAGGCCTGGTGCTGGTAGTGGGTATTGGCGTCTGAGCTGTATGTTCCGGGCCAATGGGGCGGCGAATACGATCTATAGAGCCAAGCTGGGACGTGGCCAACGGGGACGGGACAGCACGGCAGCGGGTAGTGTATAGCTGGGACGGTGGCCATCGGGGACCGGGACAGCAGAGGGTGTATTGCTGGGACAGCGCTTCAGGGCTGGGACAGCAGGGTACGGGATATTCTTCAAGTGTAGACTATAGAGGGGAGAAGCGGCGGAGTAGGTAGAGATTTCGCACGTAGATGGAGGACTACAGCAGTTGTGCGCACGTAGATGGAGGAGAGATCGCGCAACGCAGCAGAGACGCTACGAGCTGCAGAGTCGGAGGTGGACAGGCTGTTGAAGGCGCTTAGAGCTGTGGAGGCTGCCGAGTATGAGGCGGAGAGGCTCAAGCAGCAGCAACCACAACAACAACAGCGCTGGAACGTCTAATGCCAGCTGCATGTTGCCCAGCATCCGCAGCAGCAAACACAACGTCAACAACAGACATGTAGTGCTCAACCCCAGCCGCGACCGCAGTTGCAGCAGTGGTCTCGTGATGGTGGTATTTGTCAGACTTACCAACAGCCGCAGCAGCAAATGCAACAGCAGCAACAACTTGTGCGTACGATGCCCGCCCTTTCCCGAATCGCCCGGGTGCTACGGTTTTCCTGGGACACACCAGTGCCAACATCCACGTGGTCCGCTCGGAGGAGAAGGTGTGCAACAGGCGTCTACGGCGCCCGCAGGAACAGCTGCTCATGCTCTCCGACGGAAGATGAGTTCCGGCTAAACTCTTTGGCAACCTGGATGTGATATTCCATTGCCAAAGAGATGTGCGCGTGACGCTCACATGTGTTGGTGTTGTGCCGGGTCTGGTGCTCACGGGTGTTGGTGCTCTGCCGGGTTTAGCGCTCGACCTTCTGTCTTTTCACGGATACAGGAAAGGTACGACATCGTCCTGAACTGGCAGGGGGCGAAGACTATGGGTGGCAAGTGCAGTTCACCAAAATCGCCCATGGCAACTACATCCAGGCAACCCCCGTTGATCCACTGCCTACGCGCCCTGCGAGTCCCTCGGAGATGAGGCGGGCTACAGCGGCGGAATCGGCGGCAGCTCCAGCGGCGACAGCGGCGACGGCGGCGAACTCTGGCGGCAGTGTTACCCCCGCGGCGGCGGCAGGGGGGATTGCCGGAGTCCCCGCGGTGGAAGCAGGAGCAGCGGCATCGGCAGCAGCTCCAGCGGCGACGGCGGCTACCTCTGGCGGTGGTGTTCTCCCCGCGACGGCGGCGGGGGGAATGGTCGGGGTCCCTGCAGTGGTGGCAGGAGCTGCGGCATCAATCGCAGCTCCAGACGCGAGGACGGCGACCTACGGCGGCGGTAGTGTTTTCCTCGCCGAGACGGCGGTGGGGGGAATGGCCGGGATCCCTGCAGTGGCGGCAGGAGCGGAGGCATCGGCAGCAGCTTCAGAGGCGACGGCGGTGACCTACGGCGGCGGCAGTGTTTCCCTCGCAGCGACGGCGGGGGAAGCGCCCGGAGGGCTCGCGGCGGCAGCTGGAGCAGCGGCATCGGCGGCGGTTCCAGCGGCGACGGCGGCAGTGCCCGGCGACACTGTTATCTCCGCGACGGTGGCGGGGAGAACGACCAGAGCGCCCCGCGTTGGTGGTTGGAACGTCGGAATCGACGGCGGGTCCAGCGGCGACGGCGGCGGCACCTGACGGTGATGTTTCTCCCGCTGCGGCGGCGGGGAGAATGGCTCGAGAGCCCGCGCAGGTGGCTACAGCGATGGCATTGGCGGCTCGAGGGGCGACCGTCGGTGGCGTTTCCCCCACCATATCGGTTGCGTGGGCGGCCAGCAACGGAGAAGCGATGGTCAACGGCATCGACGACCGCAGCGATGATGGCGGTTGGTGCGCAGGTGAGGTTGGCGGCTGCTGGGATGACAGCGTCTGCAGCGAAAGGGGGGCGTCCACGCACCCTTTCGATCCCGGCACGGTATGTTCGCGGGTGCGCGGCGCCAACGATCCCGGGGTGGACGACCTGGTCGGTGGCTCCGGCAGCAGCAGCGGCAGCGGCAGCAGCGGCACCAGCACCAGCAGCGGCAGCAGAAGCAACGACAAGCCAGAGGGGATAGATGTGGCCTGGTTTCGGGAGCTGCTGCCCCCCTACGACCCGGGGAAGCTGTACCGGCTGAAGGCTGGGAGCGTGGGGCCGGTGATGGGGGTGGGCACCCCGTTCGACCGTGGAAAGATGTCGCGGGGGCAACGGCCGCGGCGCCCGTGTTCGCGACCGGAGCAGCGGCAGGAGGACCGTGAAGCGGAGAAGGGAGTTCGGAGGATTGGGCGAGTCCAACAATGACGGCAAGCAGCGCGACTTCTGCTGGGGTTTTAATCTCGCCAAGACAAGTGATGTTTGAGTGCGTATTCTTTTTTGTTTGATTTGGTGTTGTGCGATCTGTTGTTTTTTATGTTGTCTTCAGATCCCAATACAACTGATGCACTTTTCACCATTGTTTGAATGTTTGCAAATCGTTTTTCCAGTCGTTGGCGCATTCGCAGGTTTGGATTTGCTTTGGTTTTGTTCGGCAGAGGTGTCCGCTTGCGTTTTACCTCGAAGGGACACTAATTTCTACGGCCAAATGGCAGGAAATTTCCATGGTAGATTGTTGTTTTTCTGGGAGGTAAATGGAATGTTGCGACCGGGGGGCTGTTGTTTGCCAGAAAAATATCTCAAATGGCGGTGGTACAAGTATAATTTCTGCGTACGGCTTTTTCCACATTAGTTTTCCCTTCTTTGTTGGGATAACATTCTCTATGGTAGTTCCCGCTATGCTTTTCTGGTGGTACTGGATATGCGTAGGCGTTGGCTTGGCGTGCGACGTGCTGGGTAAAGAAGTCTAGGGGCACGCACCGTTTCTCTGTCCCTCCGATGTACCGGTACCCGACGAGCCAACCCTTGAGGAAAAGTGCCATTTTTCCTTCCCAAGTAGGCCTGTACGGCAGACTGGTATGTGCTGGACGTGTGGCGTCTTTTTCTTTGATGTATATTGGTTTCTTGTTTCGGTTTGGAGTGTTATTCATGATAGAATTGGCATGCTGGATGTTGCGGAATCGCGCCTGATTTTTGCACTGCTGACGGAAAGCATGGGGGGGGAATGTGATGTCATGCTGTCCGCCGCACCGCAACAAGCGGTATTTCTGTCTGGTAAGTCACGTTTGGATTTTCCGCGTTTTCCCTGCGGATGGAATTGATTGATGATGTTGATTAATGGGATTTGTGTAGTTCGTGTTTGGATCGATCATTTTCCGCGTTTTACCTGCGGAGTTCATATGGAATTGAACATTGAATGGGATTGTAGCTGCATTTATATGAGGTGTCCCAGCGGGGGGGCTGTTGGATTGATTGATTGTTTGATTTTGACTTCATGTTCAGGATAGAATGGATGTTACAGCAGGGGGGCTGCTGGAGGACTGGATTCTTTGTCAAGGTATTGGATATCGGAGGAAAGGTTTGGCATGTTCTCGCTAGTTGAACTGGTCATTGAGTTGAACCATGAATTTTTATCTGAGGAATGACTTTGTTCTGAGTAGTCAGGACGTAAGACACGTTTTCCCGGAGTTACCCGTCCTCCCCGTTCTGACGTGATTCTGATGTATTGTTGCTTTTTGCTGGGTATTTTTGCAAGGGTCATTGTTCGTGCTTTGACTGCTTGATTTGGTACAGCATTTTTCTGAAGAGGGTGAATTGTTTTTCTTGACAGACCTTCTAGGGGTAGAAATTTGACATCAAAAAGGTTTGAAAGCTTTGCAGGACGTGTTCTGTTGGAAGATCCGGCGATTTCGTGGGACATGTGCCATTGGCAGAGTCGTTTGGATTGGAATGGTGGATGATTTATTGTTGGCATAGGGGTTTGATTTTTCTGTCTGCCGTTTATCTGGCAATGATAGTCGTGACGAGGATTTCGTAGATCGTATCTCGTATCGAGCAGGGGGGCTATTTGGGGTGCTCAGCAGAGTATACCGTGTACGGGGCCTCCGGGGGATACGCGGATGGCATGTATTGATGGACATGCTACATGGCGATGGTGTTGCCTGCCGCATGTCTCTCACTCTCTAAGCAACAAGGTCTTGAGTCAACCTTCTTTCTCTTTCGGCCTCTGAAGAGCTACCGCACCCAAATACTGCGTGACGCGGAATACAGAGTCCCGGGTTAGGGAGCACGTGGAAGGGTCATGTGGTGTTGTGTTTTGGTCTCAGTTTCTTCATTATCCGATCTGACGAGGTTTTCGAGAACGACGCTGGTGTAGCACACGCATCTCGTTGTCTCACACGGGGGGATGTAGCGCTATTGTCGGGCAACGAGCAACTAGACTACCGCAACTACCGCAACGCTGATCCGCTACAGTTGCGTTTTCGTGTGAGGACGCGGGATCACGTTAGGGGACCGCAGTCGTTTCCGAGTCCCGGCGAGGCACCCAACACTATGCTTTGAATTCGCTACGTATCGGGGGCGCTACGGCGTTGGCATCGGGCGGGGACATTTCTTCGCGCATAATTCAGAGAAAAAGGAGAATGGTCGTCGAAGGTACACAAGCAGTATGCTCTGAACAATGTCGAGGGCGCGCGTAGGATGTCGCGAAAGCCGGCGAACGGGACGAGGTCTGACGTGAGACGGCTGGGAGAAGGTGCGATATGGGAAATGAGGGGCTGACTGCCCGTGGGCAGTAGTTTGACCGGCTGCATGTGGGCAGTAGTGTGGAGTTCACCTCGGCTTGGGTGTACTGTCGTTGAATGGTCGAGGACCAATTGGGGATTTGGTCACTGCTAACGCCTGCGTGTAGTAGCAGTAGCCGGTTTTCCCCCCCGCTGGATATAGCTGACTTGCGTGCGGAGAGAGAGAGAAAGAAACAGTTATTAATGGGGAATCAGGCGCGAGGATTATGTGTTTTTCAGCGCCGGTTCTTACCACTTTTCTCCCTCTATCCTTGGTCCTCTAGAATCAGATAATGATGAACCAACTCGAAAGAAAAGAACAAAAGCCAAGTTTGTTGTTGAAGACGGAATAAGCAGCATTGATGGAAAACAGGAAACGGAATACGTACAGTAGAATAGATTTCGCCTGCCCCCCACCAACTCAAGGACACCAGAAGAGAGTACACGTGCACCGGTGTCGTAAGTCGTAGCACTTGTGTGCGCGAGAGAGGACCATCGGAGTACGTGGACACGCCCAAGGATTGAGGCACTAGCCAACAAAGAACAGGTAGCCACAGGAAGTAGTGTCTTATTCCCGCCCACCCACCCCTTCAGATGGTGGGGGAACGGAAAGGGGCACGAAGCCCTCATTTCCTTTTGTGAGGTTTCTCGGGCACGAAGCCGTCATTTCCTTTTGTGAGGTTTCTCGTAGTTGGATCGTCGAGTGCCGATTGGGGACTTGGTGACACCAGACCCCTGCGTGCCGTAGCAGTGGCCGGTTGTTCACCCGGCTAGATATAGCTGACTTGCGTGCGGAGAGGAAGATTCAGTTTTTGACGGGAAATCAGGTGCGACGAATGAATGCATCTTTTTCAGCGCCGGTTTCTACCCCTTTTCTCTGAATATCCTTGGTGAAATAATAGAAACCGGTCGTGATGGAGCAACTCCTAACAAAAACAACGAATGGAAAAATGGTTCAAACGAATCCGGACTCGGGTGAACCGGAACCCACCTTGGCGAGTAGAGTAGCACGGCGCCTGCCCCATGTACCCTTACACCCCTACCCACACAAACTCCATCCACTGTCGCACACCGCCGAGCGGACAGAGGGAGANCCATGTACCCTTACACCCCTACCCACACAAACTCCATCCACTGTCGCACACCGCCGAGCGGACAGAGGGGGAGAGCCCACAAAACCAACCCAAGGGTGACCGTGCATCGATGTTGCACATGGCTGGCGCTGAAAAAACGTGGGCGGGGTATGTTGGCCTGTGAGACATGTTCCCGTGGGCTGTCAAACCTCAACCGCATAGTTAAATTCGTGGCTTTTGGTCGGATAAGCATCGAAAAGCTGCAGTGGTACTTGCCTCATAAGTTCCGCGTACCCCAGGATGATCGCAGAAGAATTGAAAGCTACCTTGCAAGAGTTGATGTTGTCGGGGCCTCCAGGTATACACAATCCTGCACCGGAGAACAAACAGCAGGGACAGGGAACGAGATATTTACGTCATTGTGGCGTCGTAAGGAGAGATGTTGTCCCACTCCGAAAAAACAATACCAAAGAATGCCACTCAACCTCTTCATACGAGTAAATCGACGGCAGTATAAAAACACTGGGCATTGTTGTAATTGCGAATAGTACAAGGACATCTCTATTCGATTTCATTGGGTCAAGTGCGAAAGTGCACCGATTATGGTAGTCAATCGACGGATACCCTGCGAATTGGGACTCTCCACCCAGATTATATACCCTCAACTGGGAACCTCTTGTGGCCAGGACGGGAAATTCGATGCCACAAGGTTTTTTCTAGGATCGACTCCAGGTGTTCTCAGGACTGACACACATTTGGGTCCATGGCAAAATGTCCAAGTGAAGAAAAGTGAGTACCCAACAAAGTTAGAACCAGTATCCTGCTGATGCCATAAGAGAACGTGAACCGATTCTGGTACAAGTCAATCGACGGGTACCCTGCGAATCGGGTCCTACTTACCACAAGTCTGTAGCCGTCAGGTCGAGACAGCT